TATATATATATATATATATATATATATTCATGGGCGGGGGGGGGGAGGGTACGCACCACGTTTCTTGTCCGGTGATGTGCTCATCAGTGTGTGTGTGTGCAGCAGCTCCAGTGAAGCCAGTCCCAGTGTCTGCTGCTTCAGGCGAGCCTTACGCGCAGCGTTCTTCTTCGGCCGGCCGACCTTCTTACGCTGACCGTTGTTTCTACGCGCCGCCGCCGGCAGCTTCTTACCGCTGTCCGGCGTGTCCAGCTTAACGATGATCTGTGGTGACGACTGTTGGTGACAAACGGTCATCACATCGTGACATGATACGACATTAATCGGTCACATGATAATTAAGACATTAAAATATGTGACGCACGCACGCACGCACGCACTCAGGCAAGCACGCACGCAAGCACGCACACACGCACGCACGCACGCACGCACGCACGCACGCACGCACGCACACACGCACGCACGCACTCAGGCAAGCACACACGCAAGCACACACGCACGCACGCACGCACACACGCACGCACACACACACACACCACTGCTGCCCTCCTCCTCCTCGCACCTCATGTATCTCGGGCACGTTGTCCTGGACTCCCCTCCCCTCCCTCCTCCTCCCCTTCTCTAGTACTCTATGGCGCGCTATCTGTTTAGACTCCTCCCTCCCTCCTCCTCCTTCTCACGTACCTCAGGCGCGCTATCTGTAGACTCTCCTCTCCTCCCATCCTCCTCCTTCTCTCCCGACTCAGCGTACATGTCCCCTCTCCCCTCTGCCTCACGTCCTCAGGCGCGCTATCTGTAGACTCTCCTCTCTCAGGCGTTAGTTTCGGCGGCGTGGTCGTTAGCTTGTTCCACTTCCGTCTCGTCGTCGGACCGAAATCCCACTAAAACACGAACACACGAGTCAGAGTGACGGGCGACAGACCTCCATCTTACAGAGCAGCCACCTCTAGCAGAGCAGCCACCTCTACAGAGCAGCCACCTCTGCAGAGCAGCCACCTCTACAGAGCAGCCACCTCTACAGAGCAGCCACCTCTACAGAGCAGCCGCCTCTGCAGAGCAACCACCTCTAGAGAGCAGCCACCTCTACAGAGCAGCCACCTCTACAGAGCAGCCACCTCTAGAGAGCAGCCATCTCTACAGAGCAGCCACCTCTAGAGCAGCCACCTCTACAGAGCAGCCACCTCTACAGAGCAGCCACCTCTACAGAGCAGCCACCGCAAGATCCGGGGAGAGTATTGCGCAGTGGAGCGAGGCGACGTCGTCACAACAAATCACAGGCAGTTTTAGGGCAAGTCCAAGAGTTTGGGCACGTTACGTATGGGACATTCAGAAAGCTTAACCCTCTGAAAAGCAATTAAGATAGTCACTGATTTTACTGTTTTTTTAATCCAATGTTGGACATCTGCAAGGAGAAATTTAAATATTGTATTTATAAATGAAATATGAAATATGTAATTTAAAAAAAGCATCCTCATAACGTTATTTCGCGTCCGGAGAGTTTCCTCCCTGGGAGATATCGACGCCCGCGAGGCGCTGTGCGATCGCCGTGGCAACGATGACTCACCAGCTCTCCGTTGAGCGAGACAGAGTCTACGGACTGGGTGAAGTCTCGGGAGTCGAGGGAGTTAGCGTTGGACGTGTCGACGTCGGTGACGCTCGTGGAGCGTGTCAGCGCACCGCCGTGGCTCGGCAACACCACACGCTGCTCCGTCGATGTGAGCGGCGGCGGCAGCAGCAGCAGCTCATCATCCTGCTGCTGCTGCTGCTGCTGCTGCTGCTGCTGCTGCGGGGGCGACAGGGGCGCTGCGGCGTTGTTCTCCTTGTCCTTGATGGCGTGTGCTGCGGAGGCGTGAACGGACCAGCGGTGGTGCTTTGGCTTGCGTCGCGCGTTGCGCTGTCGCGTGTGCGACCGCTCGTCAGTTTTCTGCATCAGTCCGTTGCTCTTAGCTTTCTCCTTCAACCAGTTCATGCGGCATTCACGATCATACTCATCCTGTAAACCATAAACACACCATCATCATCATCATCATCATCATCATCATCATCATCATTATTATTATCATCATCATTATCATCATCATCATCATCATTATTATTATCATCATCATTATCATCATCATCATCATCATTATTA